GTGCAAGCTTCAATAGAAATATAATTCATAATGCTGCACTCAAAGGCTCAGATATGACTCTTGCTTCAAGGTGCTTCTTCGATTCAGATGACTTTGATAGATTCATCATTTTAGTCACAGATGTGCGATTTAAAATTTGCCCTCCCTCCCCCCACTGACATAGTGAAATGCTTTAGAGAACAAGTTTCTCTCCTCAACTTCAAACTTTTAAAATGTCTCAACCATATTAAAATGTAAAGATCTGATAAAAAATGCTCACTGTGTGTTTTAGTCACTTAGACCTCATGAAATATTTCCCAGAGTGCAATGAAGCGACCAAATGAGGCGAGTGGATGACTTCTTCCAGGCCTGGCCACAGCTCTCACATTAGACAGCCCATCAACAGGCACATTTGCACCGTGGCAAAAACACTGATGGTGTGATTAGGCTGGAGGTGAATCTCAAGGCCTCTGACAGCGGTTCACATCTTGGCATTCAGCGACATAAAAGATGTGTTATGGTGTCCACCTTACTATTATCTGTGTGATCATAAACATACCTGCAGTAAGTTATCTGATGAAAAACAAAAGTGGAGAATGACTTTATCCTCATTCCAGCATCTGAATATTTCTGTCGTAAGACATAAACCTTGAAAGTTGAAAGAAGGCCACATGGCAAATCTTTTAATCCTTCACAATCTGGACAGAAATGTAAACCAGGGACAAAAGGATGAATGAAGCTGTGTCCAACCATCTGGGTTCAAAGACAGCTGCCCACTAAACCCACAATGTTTGTGTTGCATTATGAAAGTGTAATGAGCAAATAATGACAAGAAATAAATGAAAATATTTTTCTTAGCTCTGGAAAAATCTTGGGTCCTGTACTTGGTTAATAGATGAGTTGCAGTAATGTAGTTTTCTTGAACTGATAGTTTTATTGAGGGTACTCAAGGTCGGATTAGAGGATATTATTGAGGATTTCCTCATTACCAAGCGGATAACCTGTGTCTCTCATTGAACTCATGCCTACTGTTGGTTTAAGGGATTTTCTGCTCTATCACATGCTCAAATATATTTCATATACTCGGGAGTCTAACATAAAATCTGTGGGATTACTGCAGCACACTTAGACTTCATAATATATGTTATACTCAAAAGCACTGATGAATACTGATAATCAGAACACTGTCAGGATACTAAATCAGCACAAATGAATGACTATGAAGATGATGTGCTTAACATTTGTGCCCTCCCCCATCTCCTTTTTTTGTCATATAAGTTAGATTTCTGTTTCATCTTTCATAAAGATGTTATTGGTTCAAGCTTTAAACAATTATAAAAGCATTAAAAAAAAAATCGAATTTCCAAACATTCTCTGCAAAGATTTTCCATGATTTGTGTTCATGAAGAAACCGATTGTACACCTCTGTAATTCTGATGTGGTCACCAAACAGACCTTAAAAATTCAAAAAACAGGTTTTCAATTGTTCAGCTGTCCAACCCTGAAAAAACACACGTATAAGTACATCTTGTAATACAAACTGTCTGGAGCCATATCTGAGCCCTCAAGCAGTCTTGTGTACCAACCTCCGAGCGATAAAATGAATTCAAAGATCTAAGACCACCTCTCATTCCTTTCTTTGCTGATATAAATCTGTCCTTTTTCCTTTGCAGGCATCATTTACATGTGCAGAGGGCAGGTAAGTTCCCTTTTGTTTGAGCCTGCATAGCATGCTGCAAAAGCTGTCGACAGCACTTTCCTACAACAATGGCTTCAAGGAAGAGAAGAAGTGGATGTGAGGTGCCACACATGCCTTTGTCCATTGTGCTCACTTTTCACTCCCCCACAGGCCCTCGATGGCGTCTGCCATGTTGCACAAAAAAAAATCTGGCTGGAGACAAAAAGCTCTTTGATGAGCATCCAAATATTTCAAGAGAGGAATCACATCATGGATAGTGTTTCCTAAACATCCGTTTTTACTTTGTTTTTATTGGTTAAAGCCACAAAAAGGACCCAGTATGCCACCGTATTCACATATTTACTGTTGGTGGCCATAGTCCTGGAGTGAACATGATGTCACAGTGAGATTGGGAAGCTCTTATCCCTAAAATGATGCACCGCTATTTTCAAAGTTGTTAAAAGCTCCACTGACATGACATGACATGACATGAATGGTTTTATTTTTGGTCACAATAACAACAAATGAGAAACAAACAGAATTATAAACTTGACCAAAAAAAGCATTAGGCAGAAGCACAATGCTTATAGTTGCCTATCCTTTACAATCCTTATAACATCATTTTAATATTTAAAACACACTATCTGAGGATTATTGTCATTTCATCACCTCCTGATCAATTAGCATAGTAATGTGAAAAAAGTATGAGGATACTTAACCATGAAATTGATATGATCGCCAATGAGCTGACTTTGTATTTTATGCTGTTTGCTTCCAAAATAGCTTATGATGATATTCGACTACTTGTTTGAAAGAAAACTTTGATTTGTGCTGAATGATCATACAGTAAAAGGGGATTTTACCCCCTTTATAGCTAACTAAAATATGAGCTAGTCTACGACTGAAGAAATGAGATAATATTAATAATAATATAATAATAATAATAATAATTCATTTTATTTGTATAGCGCTTTTCATGGCACTCAAAGACACTTTACATAAAGCATAAAATTTGAATATAGCAATAAAAAAATAAGTCAATTAGTCACATGTTAAAAGCAGTTTTAAAAAGGTGGGTTTTCAGAAGGGATTTGAAGGAGTCAGTGCAGGATCTGATATGGACAGGTAGAGAGTTCCAGAGGGAGGGTGCGGCAATGGAAAAGGTTAGTTGTTGTCTAACCTTAGCCAATTCAAGTCAGCTCAGATGTTGTTATAACAGTAACAAAATTGTCCACCAGATAGATAATTTTTTAAACTATTGAAATAGGATGATTCGTTGATTCAAACACACTAATCAGATCGCACATTTAATCACTCATTAGCTTGTGTCAGACAGCAGTTAAATGTGACATTACCATTTCCTGGCTTACACTTTTGTTAACACACACTTTATGTCAAGTTAAACTATCTGAGATTAAAAACACAGCATTCAGACTTAATAACGCTTATGGTAAAGTATTACGCAAATACTCAAAGTTTCATCTCAGTGTCAAACTGGTCATTGCCCTGACAGTTTTGATTAGTGAAAGAAGCAAATGTCAAAAGTTTATCAGATGCTCTGAATCTGTGCTGCAGCAGTGATCTAGTTAAGAAACAAGCTTGAAATTGTTCTGCTTCAGCAGCTAGATATCCGCTCAGGAAACTGATAGCGGACTGACCTCATCTTCTGTCACCCACCGTAGCTGAAATGCCCCTGAGCAGGGCATTAAACAAGGTAGGAAGAAACTGCAGCAGTAGATCTGCTCTGAGGCCAACAAGACAAGGCTGCGGTGTTTGTACTTGCTCGCTCCCAGCTGTGAGTGTGGGTACACATAGCCTATAACTTCCCCCCACAGCTCTTGCTGTAAATAAGAAAGTATTTTTAGTAAACATGCCTTGTTAAATCAGGAAATAAGAATTCTAGTTTATTGAATGCTGCCTCTGCAGTGACAGAAGAGTCAGTAAAGTCCAACAGTATCTTAAAAGGAGATGCCTCTCTGCACTCCAGGCTGTATATTTGTTTTGTGTATGTAAGGCATAAGCACAAGTTAAGTCAGCAGTCTTGTAAATTTGGTGTAATAGAGAGTGTCACCAGCCCAACATCTTGTGCTCAGCAGGAAGTAAGTCGGCTCCCTGATGCTGGTCTTGTCTACTGTCTCTGTTTGTGTGCAAATAATGAATGGCATGCTCGTAGTTTTTCTTTACAACTTAAAATAAATGGCAAACATATATTTGTGCAGTGAAATACTTGTAGTGATACTATGTGTGGGAGGAAGAGAAAGAGAGAGAGGGAGAGAGGAAGGGGAGATGGGGGTAATTGTTTGGGAGCTTGTTATATCATCACTGAGTAATAATTGCGGTAATTAGTGAGAATGTACATCCATCTCCTTCAGATCGGCTCATGCAGAAAGGGATAAATTTGACAATAGGGCAAACAGATTGTTTTGTTGCAAAGATTACTTAGAGTTTAAAATCATATCAGATGTGGGGCAAATCTCCTCTGTATTCATGCAGGCGCTGATAAGAGTCTCTGGCGATCCATAATGTTTGTCTGCGGTAATTAACTCGAGGTGAAGATTATGGGAGATTTCTTCTCTAGTGTGTACACATCATGCAGAATTCATATTCTGACCTAAGCCCAAAACAATGAGCCTCATTTATAGCTGCTGCTCCAGCTGATGGGGAACGCATTTGACAGCGATCAAAACTGCACACTAATCCACCCAGCTGGCATTTGTCATTGATATGTATTTATGGCAACCGCGCCATGCATTTTAATGCACTTTCATATTATCGGAGAAAGAACAAAAGGAGACATTTGCAATGATGCCACAAGAACCAGGATGACAGCGGGAGTCCATAACATTAGCTGCCAATATTCAGGTAATCACACAAAGTCAAGGTGTCATAGCTGTCATATCTTCCCACAGATATATGTCTGAGTGTTGGCTCAGCGGCAGAATCCCCTTCCTTTTGCTTTGTCACGGTTAAGTAAGATGTAAATTTGAACAAAATAAATAGGGTTTATTTAAAAAAAATAACAACCAAGCACAAGAAAAGCATATTTAAGCTGCAAGGTCATTTGCAAGTACTAAAACTGAAGCTCTAACCGAAACACTAATGTTAGTGTACATGTACACCCTATTCTATCGCAGTCAAAAAGTCTAATTGTTCTAGAGCTACTCTTTGACATGACACTTACATGTTTCTCTGCCTACAGGACATGGATCAGCTGTGGGCTTCAATACTGGAGTGACGATGATGTGTTGTTTACTGTGAACATACAAACCTTTCCTAATGATGAACAAGTCTCAACGGACTGAAGGAGAGAGGGAAAACATTTTCTATGTTTCCTGAAAGGCATGAGGAATCACAAGTTACCTTGAGAGGCGACCGTCAACTTGGTAAGAATATTTAATTTTTTTTTATTTATTATTTTATTATTCAGTGGCTCACTGACAGCTGCAGTCTGCGTCACTCACCAACCCGAGTTTCCTGCTTTCTTAAATGATAACTTTGTTTCCGTTCAAAATTAAATCCAAAATAATTATTTATTTAATTCCAATTTTTTAAAATCCTTTTATATTTGGGTCAATACTGAATACTGTAAAGCTGACCACATCTGAAGAGTAACCAAGATTTACCTTAACTGGCGGTGTCACCATCACATCAAAAATGTCATATGGTAGTATCAACAAGCCAACTGCGTAGCATAGTCAACCACCACACAACCACCATCATGACATGACCTTATCTCAATTTCTGTTTAAATACATCCATCTGACATCACTAAAAATACAAATTGAGCCACCCTAAATCACTGCAGGGTAGATTTCCTCCAAAGCCCAGGAGACAACAAAGAAGAAAACCTTTTTGAAGTTTATTCAAACATCCAACTTTTTAACATATCATAGAACAGTCTATATTTATTGCTAGTAAAAAGATTCTCAGTCAGAGGATGGGCTGTTTTGATAAAATAACTTCCAGTGACTGTCAGCACTGCCACAGAGTCAAATTTCAGGATATGATTTACAGCCAAACAATGGAAAAAGCCTGTGATTACCTTCCATTCCGCAAAGTTTTATAGAGAGAAGTACATTTAGACAGTTGAACGTGAGCTGAATTTAAGTTTCATTAGAGATCATTACACACATCATGTAAGAGAGGGTCAGCGAAGTGGAAAGATGCACCATTTAATCTGCGAGACAAACCAAAAGAAGGGTCCTCATAGTAAATCAGTGCTTGCATTGTTTTCTTTGGGATGTGCTGATAAATTTAGACTCATCTACAGTATTTGTATCATCTCTGTGTGATTATTGGAAAAAAAAAGTGGCGTGAGAGCCGATAAAAGGTCCTGACCTTTAACTGATCTGTTAATTAACCAGTTCACACAGACGATGAAAGTTGAAGCTGCTCATCTCAATCGTTTTTTTCTACTGAAACACATTGATCTCCAACTTTGACATTCAATGGTCCTCAAGGAACTCCTACAGTATAAAACAGACACATGTTGCAGCTGACTTCATATCTAACAGTTTGTATTCATGAATAAAAAATCAGGAATGACTGAGTTTAGTAGGAGGATTCACAACACAACCATTCTTTTTCAACATCCTTAGGCCTTCAGTTTAACTAGAAGAAAAAAACAAACAAAACAAAGTGTCATGGTCAGGGTAAACAAATATCAATAGGGGTTCCTTCAAGGGTGAACCAAAGATTCAATTGCATCCTCAGCCATCTTGTAAAGAGGATCTCTCTCTTTTCTTGTTGTCCTCGTGTATTCAGGCTTTAGGGGGTTTTCCCTGTCTTCTTAGAGGGCAGCAGGATTTGGAAACAGCCGCTGACGTGGGCCTGCGAACCCTGAGGAGACACTGGATGTGATATGTTATGCAAATATTCCTGACTTGTCAAAAAAGCATCTGACATTAATGGTGCGGGACTGTTCGAGGTGCACTGCAGAAATGCCACTGTGCTGCTGCTGCTACGGCTGCTGCTGGCCCTGCGTGAATAGCACTTGGATTTAAATATGGAACGCCAAGTCTCTTTTATGATTACACATTAGCGGCTTCAAGAACAATTGTAAGCTGCATGTGCCACTTTTCAGTTAATCCATTACACATCCATCACCCAACTTACAGAAGCCACCTCTTGTGCCTTCTGAGCGCTGCCCAAGCCAGGGAAAGGGGTTTGACTGTAGAAGCTCCTGCTATTAACAGAATTAACTCCAGCCAGGAGCACAGCTCAGGGAGAACACACCAATTCCATTATCTCAGCTGGACCGAGGCCATTCTCTCTCCGCCACTCTGCAGCCAAAGTGCTGTAAGCATGGAGCCCACCAAAGCCATTGTACAGAGACACAACATGGAGCAACTCTCAAATGCACTTTATCAAAGCCTCTCTGCTTGAAATATTCATCTGGCTGGAAAACCACATTTGAATCTTTTGAAAAAAATAAAGAAGTACAAATATTTAATTCGTTTTTTCCTTTTACCAAGTAAGTTAAGTGAACTATGGTGAACCCGGGAATATTTCTCACTCTTTAGTTTACATATACACCCTTTCACAAGACATTTTAAAAGCACTTTTTCCCCCCAAGTTGTCCCTTCTGTTGAATAAATATGGAGAGAAGCATAAACAGAGAAAACTTTAAAAAATGATTGAACACAGCAGGACATCTCTTAGTGATAAAAATAGCTCTCAAAATTACAGCTCATAAATAATTCAGTAGTTGGGTGACAAGGCAGCTTGTTTGGGATAATGTGTAGTGAGCGGGTTGGTATAGCAGACTGGAACCCTGACATGGTGAGCAGAGCTGTAACCAGGATAATATTTGAATTGTTAGTCCTCCTAAAAACGAGCAAACTTAGTCATTTATTCTTACATTTCCACTGGTGGTAAAATGAAAGAAAGGTGGACAAGTCTACAGCAGTTTTTCTGCCTCATCACTGTCAGGGTCAGTGACTCTTTTGCTGTTATCAGTCCTTGAACGCTCTGTGAGGGCTCTTCAATGGATTCTTAAATAGACTCACTTTTACACTGCCTTTTCATGACTGACTAAGTAAAGTGGGATTACCTGTGCTGAGACTTTTTTTTTAAGAATTCCAATCTTTTTTGTCTACTTCTTTAAATACATCTCTTTTTAAAAAGTTTTGTACTCAAGTGAAGGCTGATATTGGACCAGAACCAGAAAACATACATGCTTTCTGCTTAAGTATTGTTCCAGACAGAGAACCCATAACCAAGGCTTTATAGACAAAAGAGCTAAATGGCCAAAATAGGAAATACATGCTTATGCTAGCATGTGACTGCTTCATTGTGCTTTGAGGATAAACAAGTTAAAGCATATTACATATATATTTTATACAGGCATTTAGTAGGGCTGGGACGATATGCTTTCCTCTCGATTCAGTTCTTCTGCGTTATTTTGGATGCTTATTCAATTTAAATTGCGATTCTGCGATATTGTCGATTTTCTCAATCTTTAGTCTGCATTTTTCACACCAATGAGACGATTGAATGATGATGATTACTATTCCAGGTATTATATTTACAAAAAAAATACAAATCAAATGTAAGTCCTTTTTTAAGATGTATTCTTAAATTTGAAATAAAAATAAATAAATAAAAAAATTTAACATAAAAATCGATTTAAAAGTTGTAAAACAAAAAATCGCGATACTTGTGTGAATCGATTTTTTCTCCCACCCCTAGCATTTGGTAAGACCACTGAGCACACATGATGACCCCCAGGCTGTGACAAGTAATCCTAAACGAATAAATCTGTTCCCCTATTGTACAACTAAGCCTACTTAAGGAGATTATTCAGATTTTATAATATTTTTTCACTGTTAAAGCTCCTTTACAGAGTTCTTGTTTAATTATTATAAAGTAGACTGTTATTCATATTGATGCCTTTTCATGATTTACAAAAGGAAAAAAAAAAAGACCATCAGGGACAACACTCATGATTTTAATATCATTTTTGATGCCTGAAACTGATGTGAGGGTGTATATTCCAGTCAAGCAGCAAAAGAAAAAACCCAGTTTTAACAGTTTTCACACATAATATTCACAATAAATGTTACATTTGACTGTTGAAATTCCGCAGGATGAGAGTTTGCTGACTAAAGTCACTTCTTAAGCATGTAGAGGACAAGATAACTAATGACTTTCTCTGTCCACAGGGGGTGCCAAATTGAAAGCCACTGAAGTTCCTTGCTTTCAGTGATACTGCATCAACACATAAAAGACAACCACCGCAACTGATCCTGACCAGCCGCTTTTTGTATAACTGAGGTAGTGACAAACACACACAATATATATCATTGTATTTCTTTTTGAATGTGCAGCAATTTCAGTTGAAAAAATGAGCACAAGTGCAAAAACTTGTAGTCCCTAAAGTTTGTGATTTAAGCCACGTCCCATGCATTGTTGTGTTCGTCGCAGCGGCGGTCTACTGTTCAGAAATAAAAGACTGTTGCTAGGAGGTGAAGCAAGATCAAGTACTTTACTCAGCTGTGCAATGACAGAAGATTAAATGAGACTATTTTTACAGTTGTAATGTGGAAAAAAGAGGTTTATTATGGAGCAGAATAGACAACAACGTTCAAATGAGCTGATAGTGGTGTAACAATTGAATCATATTCTCGCAGTACACTACTACTAAGCACAGCATTTGTTTGCTCTTTTCCAGAGTGTAAAAAGAAAGAAAAGAAAAGAAAAAAAATAGTGAGACAAAGAATCCATTGCAATCAGTGGGAGAAATGTTTCCAAGCTTAAATGTTCTCCAGTATCACACTGCCATTTGAACGTATACGATGTGCTTCTTACGGGAGAAAAACATGTTGCTCATAGCAGCTCGACTTCTCTCTTGAACCCGAGACGAAGGCAGGACTTGTTTGTGCTTTATAGTCAATTTATCACTTATGCAGTCACAATACGAAGGCATGACTAAGACAGCGAAGAGTGTAATTATTTTGATTACAGCTTCAGACAAATTACGTAGTGCATTTCACAAGGTAAATCCCTAATTAAGATGTATTTATAATTGACTGTGCTTAGTGTCTTTCAGGTATGCTTTGGCTCCATGTATTGTGCAAAGCAGTTCGAAGTAAACTGAAGGAAAAAAATATATATTCCAAAGAAAAAGACAGCTGAGACTTTCAACTTTCAGACTGGGGTGAAGATAAAAGCTGCACACTCAAGCTGTTTTCTTTTTGTTCGAAGAAGAGAAGGTTTTATCTGACCAGATGCTCGTAGTGGCAAGTGGTGCATCTGTTGAGAAAAGAAACAGAAATAGTTGAATGAATGGATTTTGCCTTCTCACCACATGTGGTCGTAGAGGGCTGGGACATATCCCCAGACAAGGGCAAAAAAACTGTGAAAAAAGCCTGTTAAAGCCTATCAACTGTTACATAAAGTCACGAAACAACAGTGGTAGGTGTGTGAGGTGCAATGAGACCACCCCATAATACCAGAATTTTCAGCTTTCATGTGGTTTTATTAAAAAAATCTTTCAACACTGACACTTTTTTCATTACCATGGCAACAAAAATTGAACCCCTGTACTCCCTTTACTGTTTATTTTTGCTACTTTTAAGTTTTAACTTACACACAGTGCTGGTACAAAGTCAGTGAACACAGAATAAAATTCCCTATACTATTGCTAGTTATGAAAGGTAAAAGATATGATTTAAAAATAATAATAATACAATACAAAGGCCATAAAATAAGTCTACTTCCTCTGATTCATTATTCAATCTCCAAAGATAGTGTGTTGTTGTGTCTATTTCTTCGGGGATCATACCCACTGACACTAACTCCTTAATTTCTGACTCTTAATAATTTTATGGGCATCTGACATTGTGCAGCACCGTGAAGCTCCCTATCAACAGTCCACAGGTTGGGACTTGTTGTAAACATAAAGATACCAGATGACGTCACCTCTCTCCACTCGCGAAATAAGAATATTATGCAGAGCAAATTCTGTGAAAGAGGCCAGGGCAGGAACACAAACGTCAGGCAGGAATAAGCGTGACTCCACTTGAAAGCGAACCAAACCCGGTATATTCCTGTATGTTTTTTTGTGAAAATGTGTATGTGCTCGTTCTCTTTTTAATTTAAAGGGCTTCTATTATGCACTGGTACTTACAATTAATATGTTCTTCTAAAAATTAAATATTGACACTGTGTTGAAGCATAAGCACATGCGTATACCGGTGCTGTGTAATTGACTGGTTTATTGTAATGGTGGCAGTGGTGGTCCTTTACCCTGGTTGCCTCCTGCCGTTAAACAAAGGTACGCCAAAGGAGCAGCAGCAGCAGTAGAAGACACAAAGTATGTTTACATCTGGTTCAAAACATGAAGTCCAACTCAAACAGGGCTTTTGAAATGAATGTAACAAATGATTCCAACTGAAATAGCACTATTACTGAACTTCTCATAGTTAGACTAATAAACTTACTCTCTCTCTCTTTCTGTACATGTATATATATATGTGTGTGTGTGTGCTAGGAAGCAGAGTAGTAAACAAAACCCCGACAGAAGAAGAAAGGATGTATGATTCCTTGAAGAAAGATTAAGCTATCTTATTACAAGATAAAAAGATATAGAGCTACAAAAGTAACTGAGTTTTAATCACTTGATGTACATCCCTTATGCCATTTGCCAACACGCTGGTCAGTTGTTCGGTAAGTGACGTAGTTGGTCATTTGGAAGTCAGCGCGGTAGTAATCAGCAGAAAGGGAGCATGTCGCCACTGAATGTAGGGGAGGTGAACATGCTTCTGACAATAATTAAAGGTTTGAGGGTGTTTGTAAACTGGGACAATGACAGTAGTCCAGTTAATCACCTAATTGAGCTATTACCGTAGTTTGACTTTACTGTATGTAAACAGATTGACTGTAACCACTTAGCTAGCTAGCTAAGCTTCACTACAATGTATGGCTTCTACTGCTGCACAAACGATGTCAGAAGAGATGACGGACAATGCCAATTTGGGACTTTTTTGAATTTCAACAGTGGAGGGCATGTGACGATGTGTAATGCAATAGCAAACACAGAGGAAGATTGTTAGTTTTTCATTTAATGATAAAAGAAATCTCACTAAAAGTTGAGAACATGCATTGAACATGATTGGAAATAGTTAATGACATAAAGTGGGTCAGTTGTGTTCATTGATCGAGTTCATGAAGTAATGTGATGCTCTACTCTTGTCCCTTTCCTTAACTCGATTTGATCCTAAAGTTTCCTACTAATTTCTTAGTAATATTAATATAATACAATACAAGAACTTTATTTATCCCCAAAGAGAAATCCATTATGATCATGAGGTGAAAATATGATTTCTTCTTTGTAAAGTGTAGTGTTTTGTTTTTTTTTCTTAGGATAACACAATGTATTGCAGCTGCATAGTCTTACACAGTGGGGTTAAATAATTTAAAAATGCAATAGAAATGTATTCCAAAGTAAAGAGTGTTTAAGTTTAGTGTAAGTTATTATTTGATATTTTCTTGTGATATTTTCTTAAGCTTGTTTATCTGCTCCAATTACTGATTTTAAAGTTGTTAAACTCTTCATGATGGACAGGAAAATAACAGAAAAACTTTCTGTTAATTGCTTGCCATTGCATATGTCAGTGAAGTCTGAATGAAACAGCGAAAAAGAGTTAAATCGTCAGGAAATTAACAGTTTTTAAAATAAAGTTGTGTGCAATAAGTACCACTTACTGTTTTGTTGTTTACTGAAGGCTGTATTTTTTGGCCAATCTTTTGAAGGTAGAGCTTCTCCATCTGATCATAAAAATTTGTGGATGTTGTCCAAACATGAAATTATCTCTTGAATGCCTCTAACTGGATTTACAGAGTATGTGTTTATAAATTCTTTGTCATTTGCCAGTCTCTGTTTGCTGAACATCCTTGACAGAAAATGTCACATTTAGAAGCAGAGCAGATAATCAGAAAAGTGTACGCTCCCTGCTGCAGTGTTTTACCTGTGTTTGTGTCTGCTAATGGAACCCACCACCCGCCCACTTTTAAAGCCAAGCTATTTGTCAGCCAAAGAGCTTACTTCTGCACTACATCTAAACAGCCCATTGTGTCCTTGCAGGCACACAGCAGGCCATTAGCATACTTTGATAAGTAATACTTCTGCTCAATTTTAATGCAGAATTCATAACAAATAAAGACTTGTTTGCATTTCCTCCTGGCTATTGTTAAGGCTGGATCAGGTGGAGTTAGGAAGAATGATGGAGCCCACAGGCGAGGCAGGGAGAGAGGAGACCAGGTGAGGAATATGAATCTGGGCTATAATAGAATATCATCACACAGAGCATGTCATTAGTATTTTAAGGATTGTTTTACACAAATTTGCCTCCTGGCTATGCAGGCTTTGCGAAGAATATTTGTGTAGTTGATTTTCTCAGCGTGGCCTCCTGCAACCATTTACCATTTGCAAATAAAAAAATATATACATCCCCCTGGTGTACAGTGTTAAGGCAGTAGAAACATTGGAAATGTTACTGTTGCACTGTGACTTGTTTACAATATCCAGTAATAAGGCACAAATTTATTACCATTTGTTTGGCACCTAACAACCGTTGTTCTTTCCAGCACAGGGGGAGAAAAAAAAAGCATTCTAGAGGTTTCTAGGAAGAAATATAACTCCATTCCTTCTAAGTACAAAAACAGAACAAATTTATGTCTTAGTGTTTTTCAATGCAGGCATCAAAGAGAGCAGCAGACACAACGAGAGCCAGGCAACGCCAGCCGAGGCTGCACACAGTGAGTGAACTGCATTGTTATTTCATACACACATACTCCTGTGACATTTTCCACAACGTACATGGGTAATTCATAGCAAGAGCAAGATCAAAACAATAAAATAAATTGTCGGAGAATCATATCGAGGTTGTCAATGCCGGGGGTCCCAGGGGAGGCAGCTGTGGGAAGACACAGAAAAAGGGAAAAAAATGAGAGAGGGAGAATTACAATGGCAGTAAGTGACCAGGTAGCTCGTATTATCAAATAGAGCATGTCATTGGTGTTTAAACATCATTTTCTGCTACTTCCACCCTCAGGCAAACTATTGTGACAGACAGAAAATGTTGTTAGTTATGCAGTCTAATGAAATACTGTCTCTCTATCACATAATTCATATTTGAGAGGGAATATGTTTATTAAAAATGTCATATCTGAGCATCGCATTGACTGAAAATCTCATTTGCAGCTTTTAAGTTTTTAATCATTTTATGCATTTGACCAATTTGGAGCAATAACATGCAGTTTTCTTCAACTAGAATACAAAAATTTAAAAGCAGTATTAGGAATAAAAATTGATGTAATAAGGCGAACCTTGCAGTGAACAGTTCTTTCCAACAGTGTTCACATTGAAATACTTCTTGCAAAGAGTTATCT